AGTCTTTGCCATCTTACTATCAGTCATGTTGAACTTCTTCAGAAGCTCTTTTATATATTTAGCCTGATGAATGTAAGTGCAATCTGGAGTCTGGTTGACTTCAATTCCCATAAAGAATCTCAATTCTTCCATCATGCTCATCTCAAATTCAGCCTGCATACATTGAGCAAACTCCTTTCCCAGCATAACTTTGGTAGATCCAAATATAATATCATCTACATATATTTGACAAATTAACAGATCTTTCTTAAATGTTTTACAGAAGAGATTTGTGTCCACTTTGCCTCTGATAAAATTTTTCTCTAGAAGAAAATTGCTTAATCTCTCATACCAAACTCTGGGAGCTTGTTTTAAACCATAAAGAGATTTCTTCAGTTTAAAGACATGTTCTGGAAATTTATCACTTTCAAAACCAGGAGGTTGGTGAACATAAACTTCTTCTTCTATAATCTCATTTAAGAAGGCACTCTTAACATCCATCTGATATAGAGTGATGTTATTTTGTGCAGCAAAAGAAATGAGTAAACAAATAGGCTCTAACCTGGCCACAGGAGCATAAGTCTCTGTGTAGTCAATTCCTTCTTACTGGCTATAACCTTGAGCAACAAGCCTTGCTTTGTTTCTTTCAACTTCTCCTTTTTCATTTAACTTGTTTCTGAAGACCCATTTTGTTCCAATTATATTGAATCCTTTTGGTCTTGGAACCAAATCCCAAACATCATTTCTTGTGAATTGATTGAGCTCATCTTGCATGGCAATTATCCAGTCATTGTCTTGCAGAGCTTCATCCACACAAGTTGGTTCAATAACTGACACCAACCCAAATAATGACGCTTCAAATGATCTGAGGTAGGATCTTGTTCTTATAGGGTCATCCTTCTTTCCAATGATCACATCCTCTAGGTGAGAGGCCTTGATTCTGGAAGACGATCCTCTAACATTTGATTCTTTAGAAATGTTCAAGTTGTTCATTTGAGAAGCTAAAGGAGTTGCATCTGGCGTTGCTTCTGGTTCCTTCACTTGAACCTTGTCTGCCTCTGAGCCTTCAGAGTCTGTGAGAATTACTTCTCTATCTGCAGAACTTTCAAACTGCTTTGGCTTTTGAATGCCAAGCTTATCATCAAATCTAACATGTATAGATTCCTCCACAGTCTATGTTTCAGTAATGTATACTCTGTAGCCTTTAGAGCGTTCAGAATAACCAAGCATGAAACACTTATGTGCTTTAGAATCAAACTTGTTCAAATTCTCTTTAGTGTTCATCATATAACATATACATCCAAAAGGATGAAAATAAGAAATGTTGGGTTTTCTATTCCTCCACAATTCATAGGGAGTATTTTCCATAAGAGGTCTTACAGACACTCTGTTCTGAATATAACAAGTTTGTTTATTGCTTCTGCCCAAAAATGCTTTGCCAGATTAGTCTCGTTGATCATGGTTCTGGCCATTTCTTGCAAAGTTTTATTTTTCCTCTCTACAACTCCATTCTGTTGTGGAGTTCTAGGGCAGGAGAAATCATGAGCAATGACATTTTCATTAAAATATTTTTCAAAAACTTTGTTTTCAAATTCGCCACCATGATGACTTCTGACTTTAACAATTTTAAACTCTTTTTCATTCTGGACTTGTTTGCAGAAGTCAAAGAACACAGAATGTGACTCATCCTTGTGTTTTAGGAATTTCACCCATGTCCATCTGCTATAGTCATCAACAATGACTAATCCATACTTCTTGCCTCTAATGGATGCAGTTTTCACTGGTCCAAACAGATCAATGTGGAGTAACTCTAATGGTCTTGAAGTTGAAACAACATTCTTAGTCTTAAAAGAAGATTTTAAAATTTTCCTTTTTGACATGCTTCACAAAGAGCATCTGAGTTGAACTTCAACTTTGGAAGTCCTCTGACCAGATATAGTTTATTAATCTGAGATATACGTCTCATATTAATATGTCCCAATCTTCTGTGCCAGAGCCATTGCTCATCATTAACAGACATAAGGAATTTTACATTTTGAACCTTAAGTTCTGAAAGATTGATTTTATAAATGTTGTTCTTCCTCTTTCCATTAAATAGGATTGAGCCATCCTTCTGACTAACAGCTTTGCAACATTTTTTATTAAAGATTATGTCATAACCATTGTCACTTAATTGACTTATGGACAATAGATTATGCTTTAATCCTTCTACAAGTAAAACATTAGATATAGAGGGAAGGTTACCATTGCCAATAGTACCAGAGCCAATAATCTTGCCCTTCTGATTCCCTCCAAACTTGACATCTCCTTCAGATTTAAGCTCCAGGCTTTGGAACATAAACCTTTCTCCTGTCATGTGACGTGAGCAGCCAAAGTCCAGGTACCATGACTGGCGTCTTGACTTTGCTGCTAAATACATCTTCAACAGGTATTATCTTATCCTTAGGTACCCAGATCTTTTTGGGTCCTTTTGGGTTAGTTGCCTTAAAAGTTTGTCTGAACTTCTGTCTTTTTACAACAGGTTTGTTCTAACTAACTTTTGGTTTAAACACAGGAACGTTCTGATCAGAACGTGTGTGTTTAATATCATTCAGATGACCAAACTTAAACTGAGAATATAAGGGAGCCTTCTTAATGATAAGTTTATCAACAGGCATTGGATTTAAATCCTTTCCAGAGGAAGATTCATATCCAATTCCTTTCCTGTTGTTTCTGCTAACTCCATAGATCATTGAAGCCATCTTGCTTCTATCTATGCGTTTAGCCAGAAACTTATGAAAACTATAGTCATATTCTTCTAAAATATTTTTGCATTTTGACTTAGTTTCAATTCAGAGTCTTGTTGAGCTTTTTCAAAATTGTTTTTCATTTTCAAATTGTTTTCTTTAAGCTCAATAACTTCTGACTTTAACAGACTATTCTCATATTCAAGATTGTATTTAAGCTTCTTGCATTTGAGCTTAATCTGGTTATAGTTTTTCAGGACTTCTAATAAGATTTTAATAAGTTCTTCCCTAGAGAGATCAGAAAGTACCTCTTCTGAGTCAGATTCAGATCCAGATGATCCTTCATCCTGATCTTCCACACCAGCCATCAATGCCATGTTGGCACATTCTTCTTCTTACTCTGATGAAGATTCAGATGCATCTGAATCATCCCATGTAGCCATCAGAACTTTCTTTTTAGGCCCAGGCTTCCTTCTTGGCTTCTCCTTCTGAAGCTTTGGGCATTCATTCTTGTAATGACCAGGTTCCTTGCATTCATAGCAAACAACCTCCTTCTTTCCAGATCTTTTGTGTCCAGAGGACTCTTTGCATTGATTTGGCTTCTTAAAGTTCTTGAACTTCCTCTGTTTGTGCTTCCAGAGTTTGTTGATTCTTCTGGACAGCAAGGACAGTTCATCTTCTTCTTCAGATGAAGACTCTTCAGAACTTTCTTCTAACACCTGCAATGCTTTAACAAATTTGTTAGATTTTAAAGCAATTGACATACCTTTCTTTTGAGGCTCGTCTTCTTCAAGTTCAATTTCATGGCTTCTCAGGGAGCTGATTAGTTCCTCCAATGTGATCTTGTTCAGATCCTTAGCTAGCTTCAGAGCAGTGACCATTGGTCTCCATCTGATGGGCAAGCTTCTGATGATCTTCTTCACATGATCAGCAGTTGAATAGCCTTTGTCCAACACTTTAAACCCAGCTGTGAGGATCTGGAAACTAGAGAACATAGCTTCTATAGATTCAGATTCTTCCATTTTAAAGGCTTCATACTTCTAGATCAGCGCCAGAGCCTTGGTCTCTTTAACTTGTGAGTTCCCTTCATGTGTAATCTTCAAAGACTTAAACAAATCAAATGCAATTTCTCTATTGGTAATCTTCTCATACTCAGTATGAGATATAACATTTAATAAGATTGTTCTAGCATTATGATGATTTTTGAACTCCTTCTTCTGGGCTTCAATCATAGATTTTCTATCAATTTTCTTGCCATCCCCATCAGTGGGGTGAACATAACCATCAATGACTAAGTCCCATAGATCAGTATCATAACCAAGGAATAAACTCTCTATTCTATCCTTCTAATAGTCAAACTTCTCCCCATCAAACATAGGGGGTTTTGTGCTGATTCTATCCCTTTCTTCATATCTATTGTTACTGTTGGATGTTGAAGCTTCAGCGATAATATCAACCAAAGAATATCAAGAGTTTTTCTCACTGGATCTTTTCTGTTCACAGTGAAGTGATAGCACACACAGAACTGGAGCTCTGATGCCAACTGAAGGTGAGAAAATACTTAGAAGGGGGGGGGGGGGGTTGAATAAGGATTTAGAAAATATTATGGCAATAAAACACAAAGATTTTTATCCTGGTTCGTTGAACTCAACTAATCCAGTCCACCCTATCAAGAGTGATTTGCCTTTCTCTACAAGGACTTAATCCACTATAATCAACTGATTACAATATTAACCACTAATAACAACTGTCTTACTCTTCTCAAGAACTACTGACCACAACTTGGTCTTCTCAAGGAACCTTTACAATTAAATGTAAACTAAACACGTGTTTGAAATGCTTCTAAGTAAGTTGTATCACAACTGTGATTTACACTTAAGTTTAAGAACTTATGAAAACTATTTAGCAAAGAATAATAATTTGTATGAGAGCTTAGAGAGAGTTTTCAATGAATTGTTCAATTTTCGTCAACTAAAGAAAGTTGTTGAAGGCTTGCTTTTATAGACTCAGAAATCCAAGACGTTGCAAGCTTGAAGACCGTGTACTGCAAAGTAGCTGTAGCCTTTTGAAGACCGAGTATGGTTAATCTATATTTGGCCTCCTTGCCCTCTTCTGATTTGGTTGGCGTATCTGTTGAGCAGCTCGCTATTGTTGATTCTGAGGAGGATACTGATACCCTTGTTGATTATATGATTGTTGCTTAGGAGCCTGTTGTTGAGGCTTTGGAGCTTGAATAGCTTGAACAACTGACTGAAATGGCATTGGAGCATATTGCACAACAACAACATACAGATACTAGAAGTAAGGGATTTCATAAGGCATAGGAGCAGAAGCTTGTTGGGGAGCTTGTTTTTTTTTAGCAGAGATGGCATTTGTTTTGCCCTCTTTCTTCTTGTATCCGTTAAAAGGCTTTTTGGCTCCAGACTGACTGCTAGAACCTCCTTGGATCTTTCCACTTTTCAAACCCTCTTCAGCTCTCTCGCCAACAATCACAAAGTCAGAGAATCCAGCTGAAACACTACTGATTAGCTTCTCATAGTATTGGCCTTGCAAGGTACCCATGAAGATGTCAATCAGTTCATGGTTAACCAAAGGTGCATGCACCCTCACAACTAACTTTCTCCATCGCTGTGGATACTCCTTAAAGAATTTGTTGTCCTTTTGAGCCATACTTTGAAGTTGGGTACGATTCGGAGCAAGGTCGGTGTTGTATTTGTACTGCTTGACAAACGCATCTGCTAACTCAGCCCAAGTGCGTACACTGCTATGCTCCAATTGCATATATCACTCGAGTGATGCTCCAGACAAGCTGTCTTAGAAGCAATGAATCATTAGTTTTGCAGCCCTGCTATAGGCAGCCATCTTATGACATTACATCTCCAAGTGAATGTTAGGACAACTGAGTCCTTTGTACTTCGAGAATTCTGGTAATTTGAACTTGGGAGAAATAAAAACATTTGGTACCAAGCACAATTCCAGAGCATTAAGAGAAGTTGAGTTGTGCCCATCCATGACTCGAAGATTTTCAACTAGATCACGACACATTTTAATAGCTTTAGAATCTGAAGCAGCAGCAGGATTGGAAATAGGGATAGCAACATGATAATTTTGCACATCAACATACTAGTCTAGCAGATTCTCTTCAGCATGAGGAATGGGGATCTGAGCGACAACAGGTTGGGCTTGCGGGATAGCTCCAGCAGTAACTCCAGAAGTTGGGATTGGTTGAGAGGTGGCTCCTTCAGCTGCTGTTACGGTGAGAACCGTATGTCAAGCTATCGATTAATTTAAATCACAAATCTTAATTCATGACCGTTCTTTAATTTATCCAAGGGAAGGGAAAAAGAACAAATAACCCAAAAAATGCAATGCAAAAACAAAGCAAAAGAGAATCTAAGGTTCGGGGGTTGGTTATACCTAGGGAAGATGCTAGCATCCTAAGAATTTATAGTACTCTACAGAAACCTCTTGATATATTATGTTATTTGTTATTTGTCTTCTAAAGGGTGAAAAGGTAAAGGGAGACCTAAGGTGTTATTTCTAAGTATGCTCGCCAAGAAGTCGCATCTTGTGCCTACGTATCCTGACGGGAGTGGAATTAGAGCATTCGTAGTTCACTTGAAAGGGTGGATAAAATTTTATTGGTTGACTTTAGGACAAAAGACAAGTTGTCATATTAAGGAGACTACTTAATTTAAACCACCACAAACATGTGGAAAACGGGTATTTGCTTCGCATGAGGAGAATGGCTCCAAACCGAATATAGAATCAACAAGTATGCCACATGCATCTCTTAAGTAGAAAAGAATCAACATCTTTCTCAACTATGTCATGCGGTAGGAGAATTACATCTCAACTAAGGATGACTAGTGTCTAATTCTCTCATTAGAAAAAGGGAACTAACTGTAAGTTATCTATAGTTAAAATGGTAATCCTAAGGGAGACTTCCTAAGGGATAGCAAGTTCTAGGAATACAACAAGTATATACAAGAATATAGAAAATGCAAATGAAAATGTAAATGACAAGAGTATCAACAATAAGGGATCCTCCTTTGGAATCGGATAGCAAGAAATTATTAATTAATTTAAATATGAATATTTATATCAAATAATAATTCTGACACAAATTTATTTAAATTTAAATATAATTCAAATTAACTAATGAAAAACTAGTAATAAAAATACTAAAATAAATAATAAAAATATTTTGGTATTTTCATCCTTATAAAAGTAATTAAAAAACTTTACATCTTTCTATGCTAAAATAATGTCATTAAAATATATTTATTTTGTGTTTTTAATATTAGAAAACTATCTAATAAAACTAAAATTAAGGAAATATTTTTGGTCTTTTCTAAGATTATATAAATAATAAAAAATAAACTTGATTAATAAAAGTTTCTAAGAATAATGATAACCGATATCAAAAAATCAATAAGATTTGCTTCTTTATATTTTTCAGTTTAAAAGAAAAAGCCATATAGTATTGACTAGAAAAAAATGAAAGAGAATCTACTAATTATAATTAAGAGGTAATAGTGATCAAAACAAAATAAAAAATAATAATTATTCATTAATATTTGATACGTGACAATGTATGATATATAGTATTAAAATGTGATATATGTAATATATACATAAATATATGATACATGGTGACACCTAACATAAACTATAGACAACCAAAAACAACTCATGTACTTATATTAAAAAACTAAAGAAGCTACCTCAATCAATATATGTAAAACAAACATCAAAACAACATCAGATTTTCAAAATAAAGGATGAGTTTTCAATTTTACCTCCCTCAAATTGCATTTTCGCTCATGACGCCGCCCTCTTTGTCTCTTTCTCTCTATGTCACGCCGTGGTATGTGAAAAACTTTGTCGTTTGGTTGTGAGGAAGATGATGTATGAGTGTTTTTTCTTTTTTGTGTGTGATTGCTTGTTTTTTCTAATCCATATATATATATATATATATATATATATATATATATATATATATATATATATATATATATATATATATATATATATATATATATATATATATATATATATATATATATATATATATATATATATATATATATATATATATATATATATATATATATATATATATATATATATATATATATATATATATATATATATATATATATATATATATATATATATATATATATATATATATATATATATATATATATATATATATATATATATATATATATATATATATATATATATATATATATATATATATATATATATATATATATATATATATATATATATATATATATATATATATATATATATATATATATATATATATATATATATATATATATATATATATATATATATATATATATATATATATATATATATATATATATATATATATATATATATATATATATATATATATATATATATATATATATATATATATATATATATATATATATATATATATATATAGAGAGAGAGAGAGAGAGAGAGAGAGAGAGAGAGAGAGAGAGAGAGAGAGAGAGAGAGAGAGAGAGAGAGAGAGAGAGAGAGAGAGAGAAAATAGACAAGAATGATAATAACAATTAACACAATAGTTTTTTGTTTTTTATAATAAGACAAGAATAAAATGAATCAAAAATCATGTTTTTGTATTTTTTTTATGACAAAACAAGAATAAAAGGAATTAAAAATCATGTTTTCGTGTTTTTTATGATAAGACAAGAATAAAAAGAATTAAAAATTATGTTTTTGTGTTTTTTATAATAAGACAAGAATTAAAAGAATTAAAAATCATGTTTTTGTGTTTTTAATGATAAGACAAGAATAAAAAGAATTACAAATTATGTTTTTATATTTTTTAAAAAGAAAATATTAACAAATTAATATTAAAATTAATTAATAAAAATAAAAATTTACATTAAATATCGAATTAAATCTAAATAAATGAAATGATTATTTAAATAAAAATGATTAAAAACGAAATAAAAAGTCGAGCATAAAAGTTCTCAAAAAAATAAGATGAACACACCAAAATAATTAGCGCAAAATAAATATATTGGAAAAATACAGCATTTGGTCAGATTTTGAAATAAATTTTATCCGGTTTTTTTTGTAAATCCAACAAATTTATTTTGACTGACATTTCGGACACTATGCAAGATGAAGTGCATGCTATGCTATACAGATGATACAAAACAGAATCTTAGAGTAAAAAATTAGGGTATGGCAGATGCCCCTATTTAAGTTTCTTCAATCTTGAGATACGGAGATTGAAATCTTCGTCTCGACGTCATAGGATAGACTTAAATACAAACATGCACAATTTTTTGACCTAAGACGCCACAAAATGCTTATGATATGATATGATATGATTTGCAAGACAGAAATCTTGTGAGAAATGTTGTCACAGGGGATAATTGAATACGGAAAACACTGAAACATAGTTAAAGAAAGAAAGTCCCGATGAGGAACAATTTAGCAAAACTCCACGGGGAAAGGTCCAACTCCACTAAGGATGAGGATAGGGGGAAATGGAAGATGGATAAAATTGTGATGCAACAGTGGAAAAAGAAAAAGGTAGCTCGCCAAGATTATCACAATCTTATGCATATGTATCTTTTTTCAGATGAGAATAAATAATCAGAATGTCTGTAGTTCGTGGAAACGACCACAAAAAGGGGGGCAGGTGAAATTTGTTGAAGCTTGGTTAGGAAACGAAAGATTGAATGACAAATAACCCAAGGGGCGTGCCTCGAGAGCTATCACTCAAGAATCCAAAGAATGTGAGATTCCAAGAAGCCAATCCTTTTGGGAGTTGATTGAAAAGGTTTGAGGAAAGTTAAATTTTTTTTGAAAGGTTGAATGAACAACAACTCAAGGGGCATGCCTCAAGAGCTATTCATTCGAAGATTCAAAGAATTCTAGACTTCAAGAATATTCTTCTTTTATAAGTTAATTAAGAAAGTGTTTCAAAAAGATTAGTTGCAAAAAGAGGTTGACGGTGAGGAAAAAGACACTTGACTTACGAGTTTAAATAAAATACAAATTGACGTTGGATCAAGGGTTGGCAAAAAGAGGTGAGAATCGATAGTAGCCCATACAACTGCTCCTAATAACGAAACCACAGTGAAATGTGTGAGTGTGTGCATTAGGTTGACGGCGAATGCTAACGAGAAATCGACTTACAATGGGTGTTTGAAAATGGCTCGATGACGAATCGAGAATTAGTTTGAAAATGGTTTAGTCTATACTAGTCCCTAGGGGTGCTCCTAGTAAACAAAACACAATCAAATAAATATGAATATGTACATCGAAATGGGAGCAGGGTACATGTAAGTTACACGAGATTGCACAAAATAAAAGGGTTCATTGTCAGGTAGCCCAATAGGAAGTCGTGTGTGTGCGAGGTATCTTAAACTAAGCCTTGAGCAAGAATTAGAAAAAAGCTCCTAGTTAGGGTTTCTGTACATGGTCCAAGTTCAGTTGCTAAAAAAAGTAACTGCAATCCACCAATTTAGGCTTTTAGTGTTTCGATAATTATTATTGTGTTTTGAATAGAGTTTGAACAAGATATGAACAAGATGAACATGATATGAACAAATAGATAATATAACAAGATAATATTTATAATAATCAAGATAATATCTATAATAATCAAGATAATAACTAAAATAGTATAATCAAGATAATATTAATGTGAGGGCAATCCTCATAGGTAGCTACACTTGTTTCAATGATGTCAAAATTGAGATTGATAGAAA